TCTTTCCTATCTCCAGTCTGCTATTGATTCCACCCAGTGCATTTTTTTATTTCATTATTGTATATTTTAGTTCTAAAATTTCCTTTTGGTTCTTCTTAATATCTCTATTTATTTGCTAAGACTTTCTATTTTTCCATTCTTTTTAAGAGTATATTCACCCTTATTTCTTTTTCCTTTTTTCCTTTTTAATTTTTTCCCTTCTTGTCATCAGTTGCAGAACACCCTTACTTCTTGGTGCATTTTTATGATGGCTGCCTTAAGAACTCTGTTAATAATTCCAACACCTGTGGCATCTCAGCATAGGCATGCATTGAATGGCTTTTCTCAGGGGAGTTGAGATTTTCCTGCTTCTTTGTATGCTGAATAATTTTGGATTGTATATTGAACAATTGGGGCTGTATTAGACGTTTTTAATATTCGAATATATGCGATTCTGGGTTTTGTTTAAATCTGTTGGTTCAGTGGTATTTCAAATTCTGGTCTTCTTGCCCAATCTGCCGCTACCATTTGCTTTTCAGTCTGGGTTTTATAGATACATTCAATAGGACAGACTGGATGCAGTTTGCTTTCTCCATATTACCTTGAACCAGAAACTGTCTTATAGGCAAATTAACAAATGAGGCCCATAATTTTAAGACGTTATGGCTATAATTTTTATAAAACTGGTCTCATCAATATTGACTGCTCTATCACACTTACCTTCACTGAACATTCTCTGATTCGTCACTGTCATATACCTGGCTCTTTGGCTGTGTTAAACTTGGCTTCCCTGTCCTCTCTGTTCTATTTCCCATCCTGGCCAGTGATTGGTCATTTCCCCGTTGTCTTCTTTCAGCTGAGACAAGGCCAGAATTTTCCAAAAGGAACTCTATGGAAAATGTGGGATGATGCATACAACCATACTGCCGTTGGGAATGATGACAATTCCAGCTCTGTACAGCACCACCCCGCCTGGAAAGCCCTTGCACGGCCTCTTATCATGTGATCCTTGAGTCGTCCCTCAGAGACAGCCAGGCCAGGCTTACTGACCTCCTTTCACAGTTGAGGCAACAGGGCTTTTAGATGTTTGATGTGATCTTCTGAAGGTCACTCTGTGTTGCAGAGGCAGAACCAGGACCAGGTGGATTTCCTGGCCACAAATCCAACGTACTTACTGCAGTTTTGTGTTTTGGTGCGACCACTAGTGATTTAGTGATTTTGTGATTGGGCTAACCCAGCTGACAAGGCATCGGCCCCATGCATTTTCCAGGGCCTGACGTAACCCGAGGGAAATACGCTTGCCTTAGTGAGGTGTGGGCAGCACCTGAGTCTGGCCGAGTTCCTCCCAGGATATAACTGGTTTCCATTTCCATGAGCTTTTATTAAACACCTAGTGTATTTCTGGCACAGCCCTAAGCAAGCCTAGGAGACAGAAGGGTAAATAAGACCACTCCCAGCCTCCTGGCCTCTGTAGGTCCAGGTGATCATCTAGACCTTTCTGGCCCTCAATCAAGGAGTCTTCCAGAAGGATTTGGGGAGAAGTATTTGAGCTTATAGAGATCTCCTTTCCCTACAGTCCTCCGGGCCTCATATGAACAGGAGAAAGAAGCCCTTACCCACTCCTTCCAGGAGGCCAAAGCTGCCCTGCAGGTGAGAGGGACTGGGCCATGGCAGCCTCTGGCAAGGGTAGGGGAGGAGCAGTAGGAAAGCAGCGGGGAGCCCCAAAGCAGCCCAAACGGATGGCCTCGTACCATACTTAGGTATGACGGACCGAGGTGACTGTTCTGATGTATCCAGGCCCCTTGATGTGGTGACCAGGCTGTTAGTTGAGAAGGACGTGGTTGGCGATTAGGGCTGGCCTGTTTCTCCAAGGACTGTTGGGAGATCGTGGAGACGGCATGGGCCGGGTGCAGAGTGATTAGACTGGCGGGCCCATGCACAGGGACCTGTGGAGGTATGCAAGGAGGCATCTAACTCAACTTGGCTGCTCAAGGAATATTTCCTAGAGGGAGTGAGAGCTAAGCTGGAACCAGAAAGATGGGTTAGAGTTCTTCATGTGAAGAAGGGTAGGAAGGGTGCCTGCCCTAGGCAGGAAAAAAACAATGTGTTCAAAGTCATGGAGGAAAGGGGGGAAATGTAGAATACCTGAGGAACTGAGAGAAGTCCAGGATGCCTGGGGTATAAGAGTGGGAGAGAGGGCTGGGCTGGAGAGGTGGGCATAGGGCCAGAGGTGGGAGCCCACGAGCCATATGAAAGGGTTGTACTCTATCATAAAGATAATGGTCAAGGTTTAGGTGGAGTAAATTCTTGGCAGGAGTAAGGTTTGGAGAGAAGAATGCATCTTGCAGTTAGGGGAGTAACGTGATATTTGGCTGTAGGAGAGGATGTACAAGGGGGGCAGTGAGAGGTGAGACTGCAAGGGTCATTGAGGCTGGTTTGGATGGGCTTTGAATGCCAGGCTAACACTGGCCTTGAATGCCAGGACATTGTTCCCAAGGGTATGGGGAGCCATTACTGGCTTTCTAGCAACACGTGGGGTTGGTATGTTTCAAGCAGTGGTTGAAGTAGATGAATCCTGCATTGTCATGTGGTCTAGACCAAAGACAGACTAAAGAACCTGAAATATTCCCTCTCTGGGATAGGATGAAGTCCAGCCTTTCTGAGCCAGGCTTTGATCATCTCCTCCCTGCTTCTCCAGGAGACCATAACCAGACTGACCTCACAGCTGGAGGCCTTCCAGGCCAAGATGAAGAGGGTGGAGGAGTCCATTCTGAGCCGAGACTACAAGAAGCACATCCAGGTAGGTGACAGTACACCTGGGGCCTTTCCTCCTTGCATCTCAAGGGAGGCCAAGGTCGGGCAACAGGAAAGTCCAGCCCCTCTGCAAGTACAAGGCTCGGACCTGACACTCTTACCTTCAAAGGGCCTGGAGGCAAGAGGGTCCCCGTTTCACTGAGGGGGAAAGTAAGGCCCAGAGAGAGCCACGGGGATAGTAAAGTGCTCAGGCTCTGGATTCGGAGAAAACTAATTGCAAATAGCAAACCTACCACTTAGTGCAAGTGGCTCAGCCTGTGTGACCCACAGCCGCTTCCTCTGTGCAGCTCCTAGCACATGCCTCAAAGGGCGTTATCGGGATGAAGTGAGGTAAAGCACATTAAATACTATGGGGTTAGAGGGGAAGGGGACTTGTGAAAGTCCAACAGTGAGTTGGTGGCAGAATGGGGATGAGGGAGGTAGCCTGTGCTGTGCCCTTCTCTATTTGCTGGTCTGATGATGTCACTCTGTCCCTGTCTAGGATTATGGGAGTCCCAGCCAGTTCTGGGAGCAGGAGCTGGAGAGCTTGCACTTCGTCATCGAGATGAAGAATGAGCGTCTTCATGAGCTGGACAAGAGGCTGATGCTCATGGAAACAGTGGTCAGTCGCTGGGAGTGGCTGGGGGATGTGGCCCCAGGCTCCTACTTTCTGGGCATCTTCTTTGTAAAGCGCACAGAGGGGCGGTGGCTTGAGGAGGCCCAGCCTGATCCATGCTAGTTTTCCCATGCTGCCCGGCTGAGGTTGCTCTGTGGCCAGTCTGGGGCAGGTTGTGGCTCCTTATCTTCTGGCTGCTGTGCTTTGCATGGCTGCAACTTGGACGATGCTAGGACAGGTCACCTGGCTAACCAGGAAGGGCTGCCAGATGCCACATGTCAGGCAGGGACTGAGGAAGGAGGCAGGGCTGGAGGCAATAAGACCAATGTCAGGAAGGACAGGGCTGGGAGCTACAGGCATTGAGGGCACAGGAGATCAGAGGCCCCAGAAACCTAGGGTTGACTTCAGGCAGAGACTGTTGCTCCGGGAGAGGTCTCCCTGGCCTCCTGTATGCCACACAACCTCAGTTTTAATCATACCATCTGAAACATTCACTATAAATTGAGTTCAACCATTTTTGTAGAAATGCATAAAAAACAAACATTATTTATACATATCATATCCTTCTGACTTTTGGAGAACAAAAAATATCCTTTATTCTATGAACTGATGGTGATGTGAGGGGGTAGTGGCTGTATCTTTTTTTTTTAACATTCTCCTGTGGCAAAATGAAAAGTTGTCAACCCTTTGTTAACTCCTTAGTTTTATTATTTTCAGTTATGTTACTGCTCCGTGAAATGTAACATCTAGTCTAGAATGAATCGGCTTTCAGGGAGCATGGATAAGAGGGAGGTGACAGTACACACTGTGCCATGTGCGTTTGGCAGCTTCCCGAGCTCCTTCTGATTTGTTACAGAAAGAAAAAAATCTGATGTTGGAGGAAAAAATCACAACCCTGCAACAGGAGAATGAGGACCTCCATGTCCGAGGCCGGAACCAGGGGGTCCTGTCAAGGTAGCTGTCCTCCCGCCCCCTTTCCTCTCGTCCCTACCCTTGCTGCCACGATCTCGGGTTGGGAGAATCTCCACGGAGCCTGGGGAATGGACTGACAGGTGGGCCCAGGGCTGTCCAGGGAATATGGCTCCTCTCTCTTTGGGAGTCAGGAAACCCAAGGGACCAACTCTGCCCAGAAGCCAAAGCCCCGGTGCCCTGATTAGTAGCTGTTTGTCTCTGTCCCAGCTGAACGGGCTCTTCGGGAAAGCCTGATATGGGGAAAAGGAAACAGGAAGCATGTAGCTCACCAGGCCTAAATGGAATGAATCAGTAGCTAGGGCTTAGTAAATGAGAGCTAGTCTCATGTGTCAGATATGATTTATTGAATACTGTACATACTTCCCGATCTAGTCCTCATAATTACTCTAAGAGCGTGGGCCTATTATAAATATTCCCATTTTACAAATGAGGAAACTGAAATTCAGGGAGAATGAATGGCTTGTGCAAGATTACATAGCTAAGTGGTAAAGCAGAGATTTGGGGCAGCCCAGAGCCGTCTGCCTATGAGGCCCATGCTCCTTGGTCAATAGATAATTGCCTCCAGGCAAATGAGGAGGGCTGTGGGGACCCTGTGGCAAGTTGGTGGCCCATGTAAGGAAGGCTTCCTGGAGGAATGGGTGGGTCTTTGTAGTAGCTGTTCCCACTAGGCAACGCTGGGCCACGTCTGCATCCACAGACAGCTCTCAGAAGACCTGCTTCTCGCCCGCGAGGCCCTGGAGAAGGAGGCCCAGTTACGGCGACAGCTCCAGCAGGAGAAGGAGGAGCTGCTGTACCGCGTCCTGGGGGCCAATGCCTCGCCTGCCTTCCCCCTGGCCTCTGTCACTCCCACCGAGGTCTCCTTCCTCGCCACGTAGGGGGCAGGGCCTGGGCCTGCCATGACGCCTGTGGTCACTGTCCCTCCAAGGACTTTGCAGAGAAGACACCAAGAGCCTCTCAGTTCTTCTCCCAGGAAGGAGTGAGGGTGGGAGCGAGAAGGGGAGCCAGGGTGTGTGGCCGGTGAGCCCTGGCAGGGTGGATCCTGTAGAATCACCCAGGGGGCTTTGGAGGCCCCGAGAAGCGTCTTCCCATGAGTTGGCACAGGACATAAGCAAGAGGAGTCCCTGCCTCCCTGCCTCTCTCTGTCCAAATCTAGGAAGTGCCGGGGCTTTTTCCCAGGGTAGCCTGTGCCACGTTGGCCATCTGACACAAAGGAGACAAGCCCTGGGCCCAGCTTGTCAGCTTTGCTGCAACTCACTGACTTGTCAACTTCCCCCAGGTGTTCCCACTTCTGCCCTGGCCTTCTCTCAGCCTCAGTTTACCCCTGCTATAAAATGGTTGGGGGACTGGTCAAATGACTCGAGTCACTGCAGTGTCCCATTCTAGGGTTGTCTGAAGGTCAGACTGGGGGTGGAGTAACCCTGTGAACAACCTGGGAAAGGTGAGGCCTGGATGGCCCTGAAGGCTGGGGCTGGTGGGGGCCGGGTAGCCACCTCAGCTGAGACATCACACCTGGGCCAGCCCGGGGCCGAGAGCCAGAGCTCCTCTTCCCTGACCGGGCAGGGCTCATCCCTTCAACCCTCCTGGTCCTTCCCTCTCAGTGCCACCTGGGCACAGGGGCCACCCTGGTGGGTCTGAGAACACTCAACAGTCAGAGCTAGAACCTCCTCCCCGTGCAGATGAGGAAACCAAGGTGCAGCAGGGACCCCACGGAGTCAGGACGAGGACCTCACCTGGCAGCCGGGTCTTACCCTTTGCTCTTTTTTTCCTCCCCAGGCTCTGGGAAGATCAGATCAGTGACTTGGTCTTCCTCCTCCTTCCTCTCCCTGTGCCCACCCACTTTCAGTTTCTCTTTCACTCCTGCTCTCAACTCCTCCTCCTGCCACCCTGAGCCCAGGCCCAGGGCCCCCCGTCAGTGAAGACGGGTGGCCGAAGTGATTGACCTCAGCACACTCTCAGCCCTGGTCTGTGGATCTCAGATCCTTCTCAGGACGCTTCAGGTCAGCTGGAAACTATAAAAACCCCTCGCCCGCACAGAGCATCTCCATGGAAGTGCTCCACACGTCCCTCCCTTCCCTGGTCCGCATGAGATCCCTGAAGCAGCTTCCTGTCCCTCATTAGCAACAGGGCAAACTGAGAGCCCAGGTGCCAAAGGGCTTGCCTGAGGTCCCCCAGCTTCAGCCCCAGGCCCTGGGCCAGCGAAGGAATAGTCAATCAGCATCTTCCCTCAGTCGTTGTATGGTGACATCATCCCAGGCTGCCTTCCTCATTCTCCTGGATACGGTCTCCATCCGTTTCTAGTTCTGCAAGTTAAGAGGGGACTGTGCATTTCCCCAGCTGGGCAGGAGAAGAGGTGGGGGGAGGGGAGTGCTGAGCTGCTTCTCCAGCCATGGTCAAACAGGTGATCCAGGAACCTGAGGACACCTCTGGATGAAGCGCACATGTACTTTCTCATGCAGCTTTTTCCAAAGCACATCTGGGATACTCTAATTTATTCAACACTGACAGGCACTTGACTGGTGGCCAAGTATTTTGGGAAACTCTGGGTTCCATCAAGCTAAACAGATCTGTAACCTGCAGGACTCATCAGAACCTTTAATATGCTAATGTGCACTGCAAATTTCCATGAAGGAGGCAAAGCATCCAGCATTTCCCAAACCTCTTTGAATAAACCTCTCCCCGTCACCCCTTCCACCCCACCAGCACTTTAGGCTGCAGAATGCACTTTAGAAAGCATGGTTTTCATTGAGAAGGGCAGGGCTGGAGAAGGGGCAAGTGGTGGAGCCAGGTTTCCCCCTTGCAACCTGCGGTGGGTGTGAGAAGGAAATAAACTTTTCCTTACTCTGGGGCAGACAAGCTACGGAAACTAAAAAGAACATGCACCATCTTATTCATTTAGCCTCTGTGTTCTGCTGGGGGAGGGCGGAGGTGGGTCTTCACTGAGGACTTCTGCCAGTGGCAGGGATCTTTGAAGAATAAATCCTGGAGTCTGGGTGGCCCACCAGCAATCCTGGGCTCCCTCCTCAGGTACTGGCGCCCCACTGGCCCTCGCTTTGCTCTGGTCATGGAGGTAGGGCCTGGCATTAGGGTGAAGGCTGGACTGTAGACGACCTTCAGAGTAGGTCAAGGCATGGAGTAAGGCTGAGGCTGAAGGGAGAGGTGGAAACAGTGACGGGGTGGGAGAGCGCAAGCGGTGAACGAGAAGGTGCTTTCTGTTCTGTGTGGGCCCCTTCTTGGCATTAGAAACACTGAGGTTCCCACAGGTACCGACCCCTATTTCTGCTCCTTGCTCTATACCCAGATGCCTGCAGCCAGGGAGGTAGCTAAGAAGGGGTAGGGGAGACACGAGGGCTTTGGGTCATGTGGACATGAGTGGTGGCCGACCCAGTGCCCGGCAGCTCGGTGGCCCAGCAGATGTAGACGCCAGCATCTCTGGCTCAGGGCTCTTCCACATACAGGGTGCTCTCTGCCTCCTGCTGTTCCTGGCCCTCCTGGTATACCACATGGGTCTGCTCACTGATGTAGAGGGGTCGGCCTAGCAGCAGGGCACAAAAAGCACCTGTCCATCAGCTGCCCCAGGCACCATCCATGACTTAGACACCAGTGAGCATGTAGGAGACACCGCGTATCCCTTCAGGGAAAGTAGAAGTGACATGCCCAAGGTCACACCTCGGCTTGGTGTCAGAGCACCTTAAAGGCCAGGTTCTCTGTGAAAAACTGTAAGCTTCTCAAGTCCCTGGAGAGAAGTTGGGGTCCTCTTCCCCACTTAGGGAGTGATGCAGAGGTAACTCAGCCCAGAGCAGCATTTCCCAGTGTGGGTTTGGTAGCCCTCTGGTTCTATAGGGGTGTTAATAGGTGCTAGTCCCCAAAGTGGAGGAAGAGGGGATTTTACACCAACGACGTTTGGGTCAAGCAAAGTGCAATGGGGGAGACTCAGTCGAGTGTGTTACGTGCGCGTGTATGTTTTGAATCTCCAAAGCAGGTCGTGATTTTAAGAGGCAGTCGGAGAAGGCGGGAGGAACTTTCTGGTATTCTACCCTTCCAAGGAGCACGTTTGGGGGAATGCTGACAAAGCAAAGCCAGTGTCTCTCAAGCATCTGTGTGCTCCTGTCCCCTTCTTGGGTCTCAGTTTCCTCTCCTAACAAGTGGGAGAATGATCCCTTACCCTTTCTACCTCCTGAGGCCTCTGTGGGATTCACCTTTATCATGTCTTTGCCAGGTCCAGCCCAGTGTCAGCCTCTGCAGGGACTACAGAGATGAATTCAAGAGTTCACTGTGTACTAGCTCAGACTACCCAAATGCCTGCAGCAGAGCAGAGCCAGAGCATTTTACGTTAATGGGGAACAGAGCACCCCAGCTGGGTTCTACTGGCCTCCCTTTCAGGGCTACTGAAAATGGCATCTTAACAAGTCACAGCTTGCAGAACACCCTATTTCTCCATCCTATACCTAAGTGGCCTCTGGCTGGGTGATAGCCCCTCGTGGGTCTTTCTACCCCACTCTTTCCCCTGGGAACGGTACCAGGTCAGCTCACTGCTCAGATATTGTTTGTGGCTCCTGGGAGTCTGGAGAACGATGCTCGGGTTCCTTGGCCCCCACGCAATCCCCCCTCCCCTGCATTCTCAGCAGGTGGCAGCACTGGGACAGGTGAGTCTGGGTCTCATGTGTGGCATGTTCACCCTTCCTTGCTCTTGCCACTGCTGCTGTGGGCCTGGAGGGCCTTCCACACACCTAAATCCCATCCTCCAAGGCTCCTATCAAATTCCAGCTCTTCTAGGAGGCCCTTTTGCAAATTCCTAAAGCCCTCAGTGTTGATAGCATACTGTTTGGCACAGCTGTTTTCCAGATGTTTGACGTTGACGGGGGTAAGTTCTTTGAAGAAAGAACACCACAACCATCACCTTTCCAACACCACTGGGGAAGGTCTGGGTCCACCGTGGATGCCCAGGAAACATTTGTAAATGCGTTTGGTCCATCTCCTGCCACACACACCCCCCAGCCAGAGGACCTGAGCACTTGCTCAAGCCCCATCTACCTGTGGTTGGGGCCAGTCTGGTCTTGGCTTGAATGTCACCTTGGAGATGACTCCCTGACCACTCCATCTTAAGAAGACCCTGGTACGTTGTCCTGTTTGTTCTCATTGTAGCACTCTACGTTCTCTACATGGTCCCATTCATCCATTTCCCACTTCTTCCTCCCTGTTTAGACTATAAGCTTGCAGAGAGCAGAAATCATTCCTCTTTCTGACTCATCACTGTAGCCTCAGCACCTAGTACAGCGTCTGGCATGTGGTGGGTGTTCAGTAATTATTGTTGGATAAGTTAACAAAGGAATACATTTTACATTCTTATGCAGTAACCTGAGGAATTGTATAGAACAAATGAGGAAACTGAGGCCCAGGAAAGGGAAGTGACTTGCCCCAGGTCACTCAGGGGAGCAGTGTCAGAGCTGAGACTAGAATCAAGGGCCATCGGATTTTCCGTCGAGCAGTGGTTCCATTCTGCCATGATCGCTCTCGGCCCTGATCCTAGTCCCTCACTCCCGTTCCCCTGGCCCAACACACCACGTGCACATGTGCACACAGCCTCCCCTTAAACTCTCTGCTTACCTCCTGCCCTGGATATTCCCAGCTAAAGTCCACAGCAATCTCTGGCTCACCCAGAACTGTACAGGTCACACTGAAGCTCTTCCTTAGTTGTACTGATGTTGCTGAAGCTTGGATGGTGGGTTCGGGGGAGGAAAGTGGGTCTGTCATGGATGAGAAGGAAGAGAAGATGGAGACAAACATGCTGACTTGGTTGTTAGAATGGCTGAGTTCAAGGCAGGTAGATGGATGGAGAGATGGATGAAGAGAATGAATGGGTGGAATGGTTAAATTGATAAGAGTTATGAGTGATTGAGGTGATTGACCTGTGAATGGGTGTAAAGAATTCATGTGGGCTGGGTGGATGATGGAATGATGGACCTGATGGATGGGACAGTTGATTTGGAGGAGGATGGATGAATGGGATAGTTTGACTTGCTTGAGGATAGGGAGGTGGATAGAAAGCCTGGGCTGGTGCAGGCTGGCTTGGTGGCTGGCTGCAGGCTGGCTGGAGAAAGTGGCTGACTACATGGAGTGTTGTTGAAAGCTGATGGGTTGTTTAGAGCTCCATAATCCACACAGCCCAAACCTGAGGTTCCCAAAGGAAGTATCTGTCCCCATATCCTCCCCTTCCTTGCCCAACCGGAGCCCTAGACCCACACACGCACAGTTGATGCAGATCAGCATGTACGTGGTAGATACTTGTTTCATGCTGCCAAGCTGGCCAAGCAGAAGAGGAAGCCAGCCAAGGAAGCTCAGGGCCAGTGGATGGTGAAGCCCTTCTTCACG